ATTTTCAGAAATAAGTTGAATGAATCCGGACAAGTGGTACAAAATACAGCACGGCTGGATGCTCAAGGTTACTCTCAGCAAGAAGGAATTGACTACGATGAAACATTTGCACCTGTAGCAAGATTAGAATCTATTCGAATATTAATTGTTTTTGCTGCTCATAAAGGATTCAAACTATTTCAAGTGGATGTAAAAAGTGCCTTGGCTACATCAGAAGTTTATGTAAAGCAACCTCCAGGATTTGTAAATGATATTTTCCCAGATCATGTATTCAAGTTGATTAAAGTTCTATATGGACTCAAGCAAGCTCCCCGAGCCTAATATGAAAGTTTAAGCTCATTTCTTCTTAATCAAGGTTTCAAGCGAGGTACTATCGATACAACTTTATTTTAAGCACACAAATTCAGGTAATCTTATCACTCAAATTTATGTTGACGATATTATTTTTGGAAGTCCTAACTCTGTTCTATGTAAAAAATACGCCCATACTATGAAAGGAGAATTGAAATGAGCATGATGGGAGATCTAACTTTTTTCCTTGGATTGCAAATCAAATAGTCTCCAAAGGGATCTTTATTATCCAAACCAAGTACATCAAGGAACTTATAAAGAAATTTGGCATGGAGAATGCTAAGTCCATTAGGACTCCAATGAGTCCAACAACTACGCTTGATGAAGATAACAATGGAAAAAGTGTTGATGAAACAATGTATAGAGGATGACTGGATCGTTATTATATCTCACTGCTAGTCGACCAGATATAATGTTCAGTATGTGTAAATTTGCAAGATTTCAATCGGCTCCAAAGGGATTCCATCTTACTGCTGTTAAACGTATTATTAGATACCTTATTGGGACCCTGAATTAGGATTATGGTATGCTCACTCTAACAATTTTGTTTTAAAAGGTTTTTCAGATGCAGATTTTGCAGGTGATAAGATTGTCAGGAAAAGTACTAGTGGCACATGTCAACTATTGGGAAATGCACTAGTTTTCTAGCATAACAAGAAATAAAGTTGTGTTGCCCTGTCAACGACTGAAGCAGAATATTTAGCTGTTGGAAGATGTTGTACACAAGTTCTTTGGATTATCCATCAACTTCTCGACTATGATGTATCTCTTACTTCCACTCCTATATATTGTGATAATACTAGTACTATATGCTTGTCAAAAAAATTTGTGTATCATTCTAGAGCAAAGCATATAGAAATCAAGCATCTTTTTATCTGTGATCATGTTGCTAAGGTGATATTGTATTACAATTCATTAGTACTGAATATCAACTTGCTGATATTTTTACAAAACCTCTTTTAGAAGAAAGATTTTGTTTACGACGAAAAAAGTTTGGCATTATGTCTACTTTGTGAAATAAATCTTTCGCATGTGTTTAAAGTATTTTATTTCCTTCCTTATATGTGTTTAACTGTGTAGTATATTTAGTTTGATATAAGTGTAATTATTACATCTCTATCAGAACCGCCGAAACATCTCCTCAGACGAGTCACTTCCTTCTGAATCCGCCCTTTCCTTTAACCAATGAAACCCTTCAACCTTCCAAACGCCTAGATAAGAACCCTTTTCTCTCCCTTTCATTCATAATTCTCTCAAAACAAATTTCCTCACAATGGCGAAAAGAAACCACTCTTCCTCCACTGCCACCAGACGAAGCAGACGTTTTCAGAAATACCACAATCCTGAAGAAATCATAGACCTGGAATCCTCCATCGACTCAGATTTTCTCAAAACTGACAATGAAATTAGTGAATCATCGGAAGACCTTCCCATCCGCCAGAAAAAAGCAGGAAAGAGGCTCATGGAGCAAACCCCAGAAATCTTGCATACAGGAAAAGGAAAATGGAGAGTATGGAATTTGGGCCAGAGGACAAATTAATCTTCTATGGACAAAATGAGAAATCAAGGTTTGAGTCGTACAAGTCAAAATCTATGGCTTATGGACGCTCTGTAAGTCTCTCTCTCTTATGAAAAATCTGCACTGTGATGTGATTGCTATATTTGATTTTCAATAGCTTTCCTCTCTGTTCAATATTGTTGGGAACTCCGTGTATGAAGAACTTGTGAGAATGTTCTATGCTAACTTGTTTGTTAATGATAAAGATGATTTGGAGTCCATGGTTTTAGGCACTCGAATTGTTCTTGACTCTTATCAATTTGAGAAGATCTTTTCTGCTAAGTTTAACGGGTATGATATTTTTGTGCAAAATTCCCGGCCAAAAGACTTTGAAGTTTCCTTAGAAGAGGTAAAAGCCTTCTTGTCTGATAACCCTCCCGATATTGGTCCCAAAAATCTAAAGTTTGAACACCGTGTTTTGGCCCACATGATAGCCACCACTTACTTCCTAGAACTGGGTCCCTCACCACTCTATCTACCAAGGATATCTTTGTTCTTTACTGTCTTGTGAACGATAAAAGACTTGATTGGATTGTATGGATTCTTCAGTATATGCTTGAGAGTATTAGGGATATATCCTTTTCTGCTGCTTGTCTACCATATGGCCTGCTAATCTCACATATTCTTGAAGTTATGAAGGTTGATTTGGTACCTTTCTCACCTAAGCACATTACCGGTACCTATGATAAGACAATTTTCTCTATGATGTGGTATACTTTAAGTGATGATGGATGGGCTTGGCGCGCCAAAGTTGAAAGTGTTCCATTGCAAGTTGAAGCTCCCACTGAACCACCAGAGCCTCAGTCGACTGCCTCTCAAAATCTTCAGCAGATTCAGGTATAGTTAGATGGGGTAAAACTTCTGCTCACTGAGATAAAAGAACAGGTGGACATGATCAGGGAAGTCACCAAGGAAATAGGTACAGATGTGGCCAAGCTTAGGATGGATATGGGAGCCACACGGAGGCAAGGAATTAGGGCATTCAACTCCATGACCGCAAAGATGGACAAGCTCGTCAATGATGTTGAAACCTGCTATGACTCTTTGTGCACCAAAGTGATCAACACCCTCAAGTACTTCCTGAGGAGAAATTAAGGCGTGTTATGTGTGTTAAAGACAATTTTTTTTGTTTCTTTTGTGTGCTTGCTTTTGCTCTGCGACTTATTTGTGCATTGGTCTGTATGAACCATTACTCTATGCCTCTGCTGAAGGCATAACTTATGCTGCCCTAGCTTGTTTGCACATTTTATGTATATTATTACTTCTATATTGTATCCTTGGTTTGCATTTTTCTTTCCTTTTTGATTGATGTCAAAGGGGGAGAAAATTATGAAGGAGTAAATTAAACAACTCAGAGGGAAAATCAACTCAGGGTGAGGAGCAACAACTCAGGGGAAGCAGGCATCTCAAGTTATATGAAAGGGAAGTATATCTGTTTACTCTCTTTTTATTGTCATCATAAAAAATGGGGAGATTGTGACAACTAAGTTTCAATGATGACTATAATGCCAAGCTAAATCCTATCTACTTTGATTGTTGGAATCAAGGCACTACCAAGGGCACCAACAAATAAGAGATAAGATCGAAGATTTGATGATGCTAAAACAAAGGAAGTCAAGCCATCATAAAGGAAGTCAAGATTTGATGATGCTAAATCAAAGGAAGTCAAGCCATCAAAAAAGAAACCAAATCAGTCCCGCCATCTCAATCTCAATCAAAGGACATCGAGGCTGTCTAACAAAGAAAACATATCAAGTGTAGCTCGAGAATATCAGGCCTCTCCTCAAGGACTATATTAGAAGATTGACCAACCAAATCGAAGCCTCAAATCACTCCATGAAATAAGGACATGAAAGAGGAAAGACATAAACGAATCCAGCCCATCTGAAGTGCAGGATTCGGAGGCACCCCTTGGGTCAAATCTCTTAGAGGATTCAGTGCCTCAATCAAGATCAATCTGCAACGGCTCCCAAACCCTCCTATAAGAAGACTTCCAATCTCCAGAAGAAGATTTATGCAACTTCTAAGTCTCTCTAGTTCTTAGCACAAACACTGTATTCTTGAGTTTATAAGTGTCACAAAAGATAGAAAGAGTTAGAACACAAAAGAGAGTTGTGTCAACATCCAGAAATTACTGTTGTTAATCATCGTTGGTGGTGAACGAACTAAAACCATCACTGTTGTTATTCTTTATCAAGATCTAAGAGAACCCTTGTGACTCAAGGAAAACTCGATGTAAGTACCATACCGGTACCGAACCAGTTTAAAAACTGTCATTCGTTTGGTTCATCTCTGCTTTACCTATTTGCTGCGTAAAATCTAGTCGACTAAACTTACAGTTAGTCAACCAATTTTAATAGACCACAATTCCTCCCCCCCTCTTGTACTTTATATATATATATATATATATATATATAGTGTGTAATCTATGTGTGTTAGCTAGAATAAGTAAAGTGAACTCAGCCGGTTATTTTTATAAAGATCCCTTAAGAAAAAGGTTTCTAAGAGCATTAATCTGCAAATACATATGATCATATTCTATAATGAAGTTATATAGGTAGACATGCACGCTCCCACATATTCTTTTTCAATTCAGATGGACTGCTTTTGTCCGGTAGAAAATCGTGGAAATATATAGTTAGCCTCATCAGTTAGTCTATTTTTTTCCTCTTACCTTTAGTTATTTTTTCTATTCCTCTTACAGTGAATACTGAGTAACAAAGAAAAGGAAATAACGGACGAAAAATAAACATAAAATTTCTTTAGTTAGACATGTTTAGTGGAAAAGCCAGTCTACCTGTGCATCTAGGCATTACGTAGAACCCTGGACTGGCAGGTATTTGTGTTATTATTTACACTAATTAGTACTCTCTCCATCTCACTTTATATTGCTGGGTTCGGAGGGTAAAAATTTATTTGTATTCATTGTTTATGTTAAATCATGTTAATTTATCACGTATATAAAGACATCTGATATGTATGAACACCGGGTGCGAGTAACTTTTCTCCAAATTAATGGTAGTAACAATTAATACCAGCATATAATATATAGTTCACATCACCACCCAGGCGCCCATATGTAAAGCGGACACATAAAGGTAACTCTGTTAAGTAGACAAGCAAAATTCTCTCTTCCTATTTATTACCAGAGCCAACAACCAAAGTCCCTCTCCAGCCTCCTTACGGTTTCTGGTTCTCTTCTTTTGGTGAGAATTTCTTTTTTAATTCATGGCTAAAGACCGCGCTTTCTTTCTCTTGGCCATCATTGCCATCTCCATGCTGCAGGCCAGTACTGTAAATACTCTTTCTATTATAGCTCATAATTAATATTTTTCAACTGTCTGTTAGCTAATTGTTTTGCATGTCTCACAGGTGTTGGCATCCCATCAAGGAAATGGAGCACATCATTCAAACAAGGTTCGTAGCTATTCACATTGTTTACCTATTGTCAATAAATTAGATCAACTCTTCTTTTATCCGGAAGAATAGTAATACTGATTGTCTTATGTTGTATATTCTTGTTGAATTTCAGAACCGATATGGTCCTGGCAGTCTGAAGAGCTCCCGTAAGTTCCTCTTCTTCCTTCCTTTAGCTTTTTTTTTTTTTTTGTTTTTTTTGTTTCTACCTCATATATGGTTTTGATTCTACCATTGATGTTTTTGGTGCGGTTGCAGCCCCAATTTCTAAGTAATAAAAAGCTAGAGTAGTATTTAATGAAGCAAGACGTTTTTTTTTTAATTTCAGAAAGTACTCCATCTCCCTCTATTATCTTTTACACGACACTCTCTTAAGTTCCTTTTTAATCTATTTCAAGAAAAAGACAGGAGTACTTTTTTTCATTTGAAAATTTTTTAACTTAAAATTTATAATTCTATATTTAGTGATTTGCTTTTATAGACATAGAAATATCATGCATAGTTAAGACCACATATTTTAAAGGTATCTTTAATACAGACTTTATCTTTCTTAAATTGATATGCACATGCCATATATATATATATATGTTCTACAGTACACAGATCTTAATTTATTTGCCTTCAAACTTAATTATATCGATCTTGCTTCTATATTTGGCTAACAGATCCGGTTGTTTTGCTTCCTAAAGGTATGCTCATTATACTCATTGGACTAATTAACATAGGTGGTTTGTTGTTAATATTCTTCGGAAAATCTTGTGCTGGTCAAAGTGGGAACTATACTAATTAACATAGGTGGTTTGTTGTTAATATTCTTCGGAAAATCTTGTGCTGGTCAAAGTGGGAACTATACTAATTAACATAGGTGGTTTGTTGTTAATATTCTTCGGAAAATCTTGTGCTGGTCAAAGTGGGAACTATACTAATTAACATAGGTGGTTTGTTGTTAATATTCTTCGGAAAATCTTGTGCTGGTCAAAGTGGGAACTATATGAAAATGGAACTAGTCAAACTTTGATAGTGATATTCTCCACGTTGTCCGTCTTTACTTGGGTCAATAAAGCAAAAGAAGTGTAGCTGAAAACAAACAAAGTGTTTGACAGTGTGACCAAGGATGAATAGTACAATAATGGAACTAATTTGGTTTTTGGATGATGAACAGAATGCCCATCACAATGCACGAGGAGGTGTGGAAGGACCCAATACCACAAGGCATGCATTTTCTTCTGCCAAAAGTGCTGCAGAAAGTGTCTTTGCGTGCCTCCTGGTTATTATGGTAACAAGGCCGTCTGCCCTTGCTACAACAATTGGAAGACCAAAGAAGGAGGCCCCAAATGCCCTTAAGATGGAGTAATTAAGTATTAGCACTACTCTATTTTGATTAGTAGGTGTTAGGTTCTCACGTTATTCGAGAAAACGGATTGTTGTCTCTTTATCTCACTACTAGAATTCCCGCATAAAGCGACCAAAATTTAGCGATCAAAATTGGTTTGTCAAGAAAAGCGACCAAAGTTGGTCGCTAAACTGGTAAAAATAATAAAATAATAATTTTAAATAAATTAGCGACCAGCGTTGGTCGCAACTTGGTCGACAATTTTGTCAAACTGTTGACCGGACTGGTCAGACTTACTTGGTCAAAGAATTAATCAGATTAGCGACCAATGTTGGTCGCTTCATGGGACCCACTTATTAAATTTTAATAATTATAACATTATTTTTAAAAAATAACAAAATATAAATAAATAAAATTTAAAATTAGCGACCAAGGTTGGTCGCTATATAAAGAGAAAACAGGTTGAGACCAACTTTGGTCGCTAATTTGGGACCCAGTTATAAAATTTTAATAATTATAATTTTGTTTAAAAAAATTATAAAATATAAATAAATATAATTCAACTTTAGCGATCAATGTTGGTCGCTCAGTAGAGTATAGACCAACTTAGGTCGCTAATTTAAAATTATGTATGTTTAGCGACCAAAGTTGGTCGCTATTTAGGTCAACAAAGGTCAAAATTAAAAATCACTTTTGTATTTAGTAAATAAAGAATATAAATGTTAGCCGTTAACACTTTTGTAATACAAAGGATGAATAGTACTACGAAGCGTGCGTGTGTGTCTATATATATATATATATATTACTTACGCTATCCTATGCACTAAGTATAAGTGTATTAGGTAATATTATATCGAATGTAGCTTATATATATGTAACATATATACTTACGATGTACTATGCACTAAGTATAAGAGTATTAGGTAATATTATATTGAATATGGCTTATATATATGTAATATATATACTTACGCTGTACTATGCACTAAGTATAAGCGTATTAGGTAATATTATATCGAATGTAGCTTATATATATATAATATATATACTTACGCTGTACTATGCACTAAGTATAAGCGTATTAGGTAATATTATATCGAATATGGCTTATATATATGTAACATATATACTTACGCTGTACTATGCACTAAGTATAAGCGTATTAGCTAATATTATATCGAATATGGCTTATATATATGTAATATATATACTTACGCTGTACTATGCACTAAGTATAAGCGTATTAGGTAATATTATATCGAATATACTATATCTACATATATATACTATACACTTAGTATATATATATATATATATATATATATATACTATGCACTTAATATATACACTTAATTTAAAATGAATTAAAATCCTAAATTTATTTTTAAATTAAACTTAAAATAATTTATTTTTGCTTTATATATGGCGACCAAATTTGGTCGCCATTTTGGTCAAACGGTCAAAAAATGGCGACCAAGTTTGGTCGCTATGTTGGTCAAATTAATTAATTCCTATTTGCTACCAAGAATAGCGACCAAAGTTGGTCGCTATGTTTTAATCCAGAGTCAAAATCGGGTTGCCCTACCAAAATGTTATTTCCTTACCAAAAAATTTCCCAAACTCTCTCTCCACATATTCCCTTACACAAATCAATCCCCCCACCCCTTGCCACTGTCGCCGGAGCTGCTACCGCCGCTACCTGTGTCGCCGGAGCCGCCTCTACCACTGTCGCCGGAGCTGCTGTCTCCCGCCCCTTTCCACCACTGTTTTAATCCTCCTTTTAATCTACCAAGGTTAGTAATCTACCTTCTTAGCTTTTTAATTTTTAATTTTTGCTATATAATTTTATGTAATTTTTCAGAATTTTAGTTTATTTAGTATTAGTGTTTTTGGTTTGAACTACATTAGATTTATGAAATTAAGGTAGAAATTATGATCTTTTAGTTCTTGTATTAATTTATATTGAGTTAAATGGTGAAAAGAAACAATTCATACATTAGCAATACCTAAATAAGAGTACTTGTAAATACATTGTCCTAAATAAGAATACATTATATCTAAATTAATTTGTTCTTGCTTTATTTATATAGATGGAACATCGTACTTGGATGTACAATAGAAATTATCCTAATCGGTGGGGATTGCTGGAGGATTTTGTAGTAGGGGTTGATGAATTTATTTGACACGCAATGTCACTTCCGCCATACATAAATGAAGGAGTAATTAGGTGCCCTTGTGTTAGGTGCGACTGTATGAAGTTTGAAAAACCGGAGGAAGTTAAGGTTCATCTTAATAGTAAGGGGTTTATAGCGAATTACTTTGTGTGGACTTGTCATGGAGAGATCGATGGTAGCCATGGGATATTTCATAACATGGTTGTGGGTGAAAGTAGTAGGTCGGTGGAGAATACAAATCGTGATTCTAGAATTCATGATATGGTTGCGGATGCTTTTGGGATGCACTTTGGGTTTGAGTCCAACGAAAATGTTGAACAAACTCCTAATGATGACGCAAAACGTTTTTATGAAGTTTTAGAGGAAGCTAGTCGTCCACTACGTAACGGAAGTTCGCACTCTGAGTTGTCTGTTGCAGTTAGATTACTAAGTATGAAATCTGATTGGAATATTTCTCAAGGAGCCATGGACTCCTTCATTGACCTTATGCGTGAACTAGTTGGCCCTGATATCGAATTACCTGGTGATTTCTACAAGGCAAAGAGATTAGTTTCTAAGTTAGGACTTTCGTCATTGAGAATTGATTGTTGTGAAGATGGTTGCATGTTATATTATAAAGATGATGCAGGTTTGGACAGTTGTAAATTTTGCGGAAAGCCTCGTTTCAAGAGGCTTTCCAGTGGGAATATGGTNCAACTTTGGTCGCAAATTTGAATTTCTGAATAATTAGCGACCAACTTTGGTCGCCAACTTTAATTTCTGGATAATTAGCGACCAAAGTTGGTCTCTTTTCAGGTCAACATTGATCAAAATTAAAAATCACTTTTGTATTTACTATCTAAATAATATAAATGTAATTCATTAACACTTTTGTAATACAAGGGATGAATACACTAAAATATACTCTAACATGCTATATATGTAGTTAAAGTAGTACAACGAAGCGTGTGTGTGTGTGTCTATATATATTATATAAGAACATGAAGCGCTCGGAACACAGGGCCGGGTTCTTTTAGGTATTGATACACTTGTAAATTGATTCATCGACTTATAACCTACTTAGATGCATGTATATATATTAAAAACAAAACGTCTCGACTTATATCAATTAAGATGATGCAGCTTTGGACAGTTGTAAATTTTGCGAAAAGCCTCGTTTCAAGAGGCTTTCCAGCGGGAATATGGTTGCTATCAAGTCGATGTATTATTTACCTCTTATACCTAGGTTAAAGAGGTTATATGCGTCGATGAGTTCTGCTTCTCATATGAGATGGCACTTTGAAAATAGAAGACCACCTGGTGTTATGTGTCATCCTTCAGATGGAGAAGCTTGGAAGCACTTTGATAGGACATATCCAGATTTTGCTAGTGAACCAAGGAACATTCGGTTAGGTCTGTGTGCGGATGGCTTCACGCCTTTTTCTGTATCTGCAACACCATATTCATGTTGGCATGTCTTTCTTACTCCTTATAATATACCACCCGAGTTGTGCATGACTAGTCCATATATATTCTTAAATCGTATTATCCCCGGTCCACGTAATCCGAAAAGTTTGATTGATGTATATTTGCAACCTTTGATTGATGAGCTAAAAAAGTTGTGGTATGATGGTGTTGAAACATATGACATATCAACCAAGCAGAATTTCAATTTGCGTGCTAATTTAATGTGGACAATTAACGATTTTCCTACGTATGGAATGTTGTCTGAGTGGATGACTGTTGGGAAGCTAGCTTGTCCTTACTGCATGGAAAATAGTAAAGCGTTCACTTTGAAATATGGCCGAAAGCAATCATGGTTTGATTGTCATCGTCAATTCTTGCCTCCTGATCATGAGTTTAGAATGATGAAAAATGCATTCAAAAAGAATAAAATGGAATATGATTCTCCACCTCCGATACTTTCGGGTGAGGAAATTTGGGAGAGGGTCCAGAACTTCAGTAAAGTTACTGAAGCTCCACCTTATAGATTCCCCGGATACGGTGTTACTCATAATTGGACGAAACAGAGTATATTTTGGGAATTGCCTTATTGGAAGGATAATCTTCTCCGTCACAACCTTGATGTCATGCATATTGAGAAGAATTATTTTGATAATTTGTTCAACACAGTGATGGATGTTAAAGGTAAGACAAAGGATAACCCGAAGGCTAGAATGGACTTACTAGAATATTGCAGACGGCGTGAATTATACTTGCAGACAGCAAACAATGGTAAGGTGTTCAAGCCCAAAGAAAGTTACACATTCACTTTGGAGGAAAGATGGCAAATTTGTGATTGGGTAACGAAATTGAAGGTGCCTGAGGGTTATGCATCGAATCTTGGGAAAAAATTGATATGGAGGTAAGGAAGCTGAGCCATTTGAAAAGTCATGACTGTCATGTTTTCATGGAGACCTTAGTGCCTATTGCATTTTGTGGTTTGCCTGAAAGAATCTGGAAACCCATCACAGAGATTAGTTTATTTTTCAAAGACTTATGTTCTTCCACATTAAGGGAAGAAAACCTACTCCGGATGGATCAGAACACTCGTGTAACTTCTACTAAGATGGAAAAGATATTTCCATGTGATTTTTTCGATGTGATGGAACACCTTCCAATCCACCTTGTACACGAGGCACGACTTGGAGGGCCTGTTCAATGCAGATGGATGTATCCCTTTGAGAGGTAATATTATAAGTTTGATGTAACTTTCTGTTTTATTTGAATGTTCTTGGCTAACCTGAAATTATGTAGGACAATTGGCAAATGCAAACAATTTGTTAAGCAGAGGAATAGGATTGAAGGATCTATATGTGAAGCTTATCTTGCAAAGGAAACTGCTCATTTTTGTTATTATTTTGAGAGTAATGTGCCATGTGCTAGGAATAGGCCCAATAGGCACACGGTCGAATGTGTGAATGATCCATTATATCCGCCTATATCCATATTCAATCAACCAGGCCGATGTTCTAAAGATGTTAGAAAGAGAAGTTTGAGTGATATGGAGT